AAAAAATGCCAGCAATAGCAAGTCCAAAACTGATTCTCAACCAAAACACATCATAGGTGGTTTATAGTGAGATTTGTAATTGGCCTTTTCCAAGCACTGTTTGTTCATTCCTTGGAACTTTCGTAGACCTCTCTACTTAAGCGTAGATGAAGGCAAGATTTTATGCTGCCTCAGGAGATCAGAGGGACTCTGAAGGATCTAAGTCAAGCTCAGTGTTCATGTTACCTGTTGTGTGCGTTTTTACCTGCCACTGTGGTCCGTAGCTACCCACGGACAGAGAGCCGTGGCAGACTGCATCCCACGTCTTACCAGCAGATGTTAACACAGCCGAATTATTATAATAAAATTCGAAAAAGAGTCCTTTTGCTGTTGCTTTGTGGATCAAGTCTGTTTGAAGGAACTGTTTGCCACAATTAAACCAGAATATACGGACGATTCTTATTTTTGAAATACCGATATTTAAAACAAACATTTCTTTCCTTTGAGAAAAGTATGTTGGGCGGCCCTCAGACACCAGAGTGAAGTGAATTCGCAACACTTTTCCTCGCTAATTAAATACCTTATTCACGTCTCTTATGTTTTTTCCAGTTTCAATGGAAATATATACTGATTTTCAAATTATGCACAACAGTAGAGTCGCTGAACCACTTCTCATTTTCACTACGGCGGTGTGATTTATGCGCCGTTTACCTGCCAAGGTTATAAACTCTTCGCAGTTCTCTTCGCTAAAAAAATTAGGCATTTCTGGCCCCACCATATGGCCATATTAGAGATAACCTCAGCTGCGTTCGGACTAATGTGCATGTTTGATAACCAAGTATTCCAGCAAGACGGCTCACCTCATCCAGGTAGAGCAGGGCTCGCGCGTATGCCCTCCGCTTTATCAAGTGTCTGCCGATGTTGAGATAGGCATCGAAGGCGTTGTAAATAACTTCCTCCCTGGATTCATCGGACATCCCGGCCAACCGGCTTGCCACAAGGGCCAGAACAAGTGCAGCTTCTGTTAGTGTCGCGTGCGGAGGATCGATTAACTTTTAAGTACAGCATGGCTCCCTTGCAGTCATGTTAACACACCCGGCAAGGCCGTTCCTCTTGTTAACTGACGCCATGAGGATACTTCCACTTATGAAGTTTTGGGGAATGAGTTGGGCTTTCTACACAGTCTCCCCCTTTCGCCATTTTAGCCAAAAATGAACCTGAGTGGTTAATGAATCGGCCTGTATATACACTTAACAGGCTTGAGTAGGCATTGAAGGTTTTTCTGAAAAAACTGCGCTTTAATTATGAATCGTGTCTCATATCAACCAAACAGAGGAGATTAAACTGTTTCGCATATTTTCGTTTTGCATTATTTGTGAGTCTTTTTAGTTATTTTTTATCAAGAAAAATGCTGCTATTTTCCCCGGACATTTTGTGTTTCTAGGCAATGTCTAGATCTACAGATATTTCCACCTGCTCTCATTAATTCGCAGCCATTTATTTGTTATTCACTGCTAGTAAGAGAACTTTCGTCCAAAAGTGTTGTGTGTTTTGTACTGACATTTGGGAACACCATGGAGAATTACAACCTCCCGCGTCTCCATGACAGTCTGCGACAATTCACTGCAAAACCAAACCCCATCAAGACACATTTCCCCAACCAACACATACACCACACATGAACCCGCTCCGCATCACGCACCACAGGCACGGAGTAGGCACCTGTCATGTAAGTAGGAGGCGTGTTCCTCAGCTCATTCTCTATGTAACCCCAATGGCACTCTAACGCATGCGAACTCCAGGCAACTCACTCCCTTTGTGAGGAAACCTGATGCGCTATGGGAGAGACCGGGTCTCGCACGTGGCACGTGCAGACAGGCTGTCTAGGTCTGTCAGCTACTTGTGCCCAATCCCCGAACTGGATGACTGGCCGGATCAGACAACGGACTGCAGCGGGGGAGAGGGAAGCGGGGGTGAGATGGACTCTGGGCACTCAACGCGTATTCCTCATTATACACCATCTGGTGCGCCTCTAAACTATCACTGTGAGCTAAAAGCCGTGACTTGTGAGGCTGTCCACTGATAAGCTAGCTCGTTCCTCCTCTCAGGATGGAGAGTCAGGTTGCGGTGGCTCCTTCTTAGTTTGTTCTCTATGGCACTCCCAATCTGATGGGATCTGAGCCGCCCCCTTTGTTTCTGTGAAACCTTGACCCACCGTTCGCCGACCAGGCGTATGTGGCGGGCACGGACGGGTTTTGCCAGTCACTGTGCCCGATCCCGATCTTCTTGACTCTGTCATGATACCGGACTCAGGTGAGTGAGGAAGGAGAGGGTGCGGTAGATGTGTCCTAAGTCACCATCCCTGCGCCCACCATGCTGCGGGTCACACGGCGGACATCATCGTTTGCGACGGTTGAACAGTCAAATGTCACATATTCAGTGTAAATGAGCCCCTTTTTAAGGATATGCCTTGAAAATGGTTTATTCACAAAAGCCCTAACTATTAATTCCTATGTTGCACACCAAATCTCGTAAAAGAATAAAAGTGAAGTCTTTAAACGTACTTCCAAGCAGAAAAGACTACTTAAGTTAAATTACCAATTGGTACTGGAACAGCGTTTAGGTTATGTTTTCGATTTGAAAGTACGTTTAAAGGATTCAGCCAATGGTCCGCTAGTTTCGGCGCATGCAGTAGATTAGCAAGGCTTTATACTTTTGGCCTGATCCCATGTTTTTTTCAATTTTGGCGCCGACTTCTGTCAACTACGGTGCAGTAGTTGTTGGAGATTCACAATTACGAGCCACATTTAGGTAGTTTAATTCGTAACCATCGGAAAGTGTCCCACGCACTTGTAACGCATCTTCTCACTACGAGCCCCTCTACTTACTTCGACAATTTTCTTTTTTGCTTGACGATACTGCGGGACGTTCTGTCCCTCAGTAGTGCCCCAGAACTATTTGCGCGATTTTTTTCAGCGTAACTCCTTGGCCTCGTAACCGACGATTATAGGTCTGTATTAAGTCATTGTGGGAAATTGCAGTAAGACAAACGGTCATCTACAAAATTACATTTGTGCGACGGACTAGATACGGAACGCTGAGGGGCCTACAGACTGGCCTACTTCATCGCATTTGCGTCATCTGTGCGCGGAAAGTTGATGAAACACTCCTTTTGACCTTCCCCTCAGACTCTTTTTAGAATTGCGATTAGGGAAATCTTATCAGACATGATGCTTGCCATTGCCAAATTTTCACCCTTGCTCACCGCTTGGTTTTCCGCTGAACTTTGAAATATCCAAATACAGTCTTTGCGTACACACGAGCTCGAATTTCCTGTTCCAACATTTAAATCTGAGCTCCTTCATCAATTTCAGACGAAATTATAAGGCAAACTATGGGGGGTGTTTGCGTTGTTTGAAAACAATACACTTCGCTTAGAAAACTATTTCTGGGGAGGACGAAAATTTCGTGTAGACATTGAAATATCATATTTCAGCGCCGTCTGTATATCAAGTGATTTTCCCAGTCCCACAAAGTTTTACACTTTTTTCTGGCATAAAACGCTATTTTATAGATGAAGCTATACAGGCTGTAAGAACCTCTTTGTTGGTGCACTTGTCCCCCCCCCCCTCTTCCTCCTTCTCCTCATCATCCTCGTCCTGCCCAGGCCTTCGCTGCGGCATAACAGAATTCGACTTCGTCAGTCCGCAAATGTCAGAAGTTGCGCTCTCACACACCGAGTCTCTCGTTATACTTAACGTCAGTCAACTCGGTACCAGCCATCAGGGCGCTCACGGATTAGGTTATTAGCTTGAACTTGACGAGCGTTCGGGCTTCACAGATTGCCCAAACTTGCCCCAACTTAAAGACAGTGTCCTACCCTAGGCATTGCAGTCAGCAAAGGCTTCCCTCTCCACCGCGTCACTTTGGCCTCTGAGATGGAAGGGCAACATTACAGTGAGGTCAGGCAACTCCTTAAGACCAGCAATGAACGGCACAGGTCGCGGTTCCCCCATGTGGTCACAGAAAACCGACGAACCGCGTACCTGAGTTTTCAACCATTGCCTTCGTTGAGAGTATGGTGAAGCAATTTTCGTATACCACGTTGGCTGAAAATAACGTATTGGTGACAAACGTCGAGCGGTATTTTCCTTTCTTCACGTTCGTCCCAGTTTGCCACCACCTTTTCGGGTAGCCAAAGCAAAAGTGAAGGCCTACGTTCAGTCCTGAAAACAGGTCAGGTCGGCAAGTGGCCCTCCCATGCACTTTTGACTACTTCCGATCTCAATCGATAGAGAGAGAGGGAACCCTAATTCGCTTGCTGGAGAGTTAGGTCTAACAAACGCCAGCTAACTTGGAGGACTGATTGCTAAGACTCGTTCAGCCGACCTGATCTATATATGACAGTCGTCTACACCCCTCATAGGCATAGAGGGCGGGGAGATTGGAGTTGAAGGCTAATAGCTCACTTCTGTGTCAACGTATCGGAATAGGAAATTTTTTGCCAACCCTATCATATGAAGGGCTTTTAGTACTTAGAACTTAAGGACACCGGAAGGACTTTTGCCGGCAAAAGCTATGGAAAATGACTTATTTTCCGTTGTCAGCCAGTAGTGGTACACTCCCACGTCGGGAAGATTGGTTGTCGTTATGCCGCTGTCTGAGAGGTCTTCAAACTGGAACTCCAAGGCGAAAAGGGGGGGGGGGTCAGTTTCCCTTGCCGCGATCAGGCAAAGTACCCATATCTGACAAGGAAGCATATTTTACATAGAAGTCCTGCTACTACAACGCTAATGGGAGTTGTATTTTTAAGCATTGTCAGAAAAAATAACGGGACAGCTCGCTGCGCCCTTTTGATATACAGTAGGTGGCCTAACTCTTGAAACTTCGTGATCGAAATTGGGTGCTTTTATTTGTGTTTATTAAATTGACTTGAGACGCAGAGAACTACTTACTAAGGGAGGATTCATTTCAACTCAGGTTTTCTAGGGGAGAACTAGCCAGATTTGGGCGAAATCTGGCCTTCCTTGATATCCAGGTAATTTCCTACACTACTGAAATTCACAGAGCAAAACGCCATAGTTATGTGCATTGCGCTGTAAACAAAGATTAATATAGATAAGAAAAGCATGACGTATGTCACTCCTGGGAGCGAAAAATTGGATTCTGCGGTCATGAAAATCGGGTGATGGTGGGTATGAGAAATTGCATAGTTTTCGAAAAGGGGGAATTCGGCTTATAAAATTCTGTTTTATAAATTTGTGGTGTTTTATGACATAAAACTTAGTAATAAACTTGTCTGACAAAATAATTATTTTATCATACCAAGAATAACTAGGCGTAAACAAATATATACTAGGTACCCGCGAAATAGTACTTTTCTGTGCCACGCCGTGCGATAAAAATGTCCGGGCAATTTCTATCAGCAGTCGACTACGAAAGGTGCGGAAAATAGCAGCGGATGGGTTGTCGCCCGAGTTATTAGAAATTATTTTCGATATTATTAAGGTTACTCTGTGACGAATAATTAATGATAGAACCGTACCCAGAAATAAGCAGGGTGGACCAAAACGGTCCACAAGTAAGCAAGACGACGATCTTATTCATCGTACGCCAAAAAGTGTCATTATATGCCAATTGAGGTCAATAACAGGGAACATCTGCCGATGTTCTCTGTGAACATATTCAGTAAAAGGATGCAGAATTTGAACTTCATCAATAAAAGGCCATGATCAAGCCGTCTTTAAGTAGAAGGCTTATTATAAAATGTTTCTTACTTGCAAAGGAACGTATTGATTACCGGCCCTCACTCTGGAAAAGCATTTACTTCTAAAATGAGGTCTTATTTTTAGACAAGCCTATGAAGTCAACCCAGATGGTAACATGCGGGGAGAACTTTCCAAAACAGCATATCACGCGGACGACAATCTTCAAGACCTGTCGACGGTTAACGGCTTGGGTGGCTACCCAATTCGGGGAGCGGCCAGTCTGGTGGTAGACTGCGCACACCATCAACAGCAAGGTGTTCGTCAACATTGTGAAGGATTTTTTTGATTACAACGGAATCCACCGACGCCGAATGGACACCATAATTTTACACGATAATGTCCCTGTCTATCGCTCTAAAGAGGTAGGCATCTGATAACGCGCACAACTGTAATCTAACTTTTTTGACAACAGCCAGCCTTTCCGCATGTAGTCTCCAGTCTAATTTTATTACTGCCAATAGTTCGGATCTCAATCCTATCGAAAATCTTCTCGCACTTAATAAAAGAAGTTGACACAAGGCAAAAGAGGGATTTTCAGTGCGAGGAAAGCTTGTTCCTGTACTAGATAATCAGATTCAGAATTCCACTATAGACAGCCTGACCATCTCCATGTCTGGAAGACTTTCTGCTGTGTTAAATTTAAATGTACAATTAACAGAATACTGATCTTTTGTACTTCTTATTATTTTTCATTTCTCTCCCCCCCCCTCCTGTCTCATGCATTCTTATTGTTAACCTTACTTAATCGATTCATAATGTAGCCGTTTTCTGAAATCCTAATTTTCGGCGATAAATTAATTATTTTTATTTAAGTAAATATTAATTTATAAGCCCAGCTATGCCTTCCTTTCAAGAACAGTCGTTTTGCGCTGCTGTAGGCTTTGAGTGAATTTTACGTTAAAGGGATTTTCGTGTGATAATTTATGACATTTCATGAGTTATCACACTTACTGTTCTAGGTAGGTTTCGCGTGCCTTGGAAATAAACCCCGAGAAGAAAATAGGGTATTTCACAACTTTCCCAAATTCAATCACGTTAAGCTGTCCTTACCCCGCCATCACGAACCATGTTTTGGATATGCCGAAAAGAGCGTCGCGTCGAAACCCTGGCACGAATTTCGGAACTTCCAGTCGTTTCCTTCCCCTGACCTTAGACGAGTTTGTTTTCCCTTCATAATCCAACAGGCGAATTGGCAACGGCATGGAGAAGGACCCCACTTAACTATCAGTAGACTGTGGATCGTGCCATACGTGATTTATGGTAAAGGGAGTTTTATGGATGGGGCAGCACGCTAGAAACTAGGCTGAAAAATGAAAGAAAACACAGAAATTGTCTGGGTTTATGCCGGACGTTTTATCCTACGCTATTTTACGAGGACAGAAATGACAGTAGAATTTAAACGATAAACAAAAAAACAAGTTTCACACAATAACGGATTTTGAGTTAAGGTGTGAAGTCATGGGAAGCAATCGTTGCTGGCAGTGGGATTTCTGCAAATGTATGTTAAGGTAAAACCCCATATGACACGATCCACAGTCTACTGACAGTTAAGTGGGGTCCTTCTCTACACCGTTGCCGATGAATCGCCCAGGGCCTCAGAAACAACGCCTTCGTATTGTCTGTTAGTTCACCTGATGAGAGCTGATTTTCGAATTTTAGTTCTCTTGATTTTCTGCTGTGGATCCATTTCATTTCAATTCATTTCTTCAAAATATATTTTGTGAAAACTTCATTAGTCCAGTTAACCATGTTGTAGGTCGGTGCTCAGTTTTATTAATGACGGTGGTTACTTCAGTAGATCTCGGTTTCCAAGTCATTATTGCAAGTAGGTAGGGCATCTTATGCTAGATATAGCATCGAAAGCCTTTGTTAGACCAGTTTGGGATATATTCAACGTGAATCGTGTATCAAATGTCTGAGACCAAGAAAAGTAACTGCTTGTCAACCTGGTTACCAGTGGCCATTCTGAACGTTATGGGGAAGGCCTTACTTCATTAAACTACTTTATAATGTCCTTCTTTCTGATCCTTTTTATGATTTTGCAATAAATATGCGCATGACTAAGCTAGTGGAACTTCGTGCTTGTCGCGCGGAAACGGATCTGTGTACAGTTCTAGGAGACGAAGCCATTTCATGGACCGTCTCTACTGAAGACGCAAGAAGTGTGATTTCCGCAAACATGGCACTACAGCGGCAGACGGAGGCGCACGCAAGCATGTCTTGCCCACTAGAAGATAATTGCAGAATCTGACTCGATGAAGCTTCCGTACTTTTCCCGGAACTTACCATTTATTAGGCCGCACCTCGAATATTGCTGACGTAGCCTTCTAACTTGGTCTGGGACGCACGATCATTACAGAGTTCAACATCCAGTCATTCCACTTGTAGACTCTCTAAGAAAGTCGAAAACTTTGATGTGCGTTTACTGATGGAACCTTGCTGTGCTTCAGCATGAAGGTCTCTATAACTGTCTCATTGAAACTTGTAGGAGTAACAATGGGGTAAAAGAATACTAATTCTGATTTATATGTCCAACCTACCTGTCCCTAAGTTTTCGCGACCGAATGCTAAACCAGCTGCATTTTTCTCAGAGACATATTAACCCAAAAACAAGTTCTTGGAAGTTGTAGTGACTGTCCCAGATTGTCCACTCTTTCAGAAAAAAACTTGGCCTCGTTTCGACAACGTAATTAACACTGTGTGGTTGCGCTTGTGTACACCGGCTGCACCATCATACCTTGCCCATAGGCACCACGAAGAAAAGATTCTGGACAGACCGGTTCATGACCAAACGCTCAAACTTCGGAATAATAGGTCAGCTCTCCTCAAGTATATTCGAAGGTGCCACACCCAACAAAAGCATTGAGGAACTTGACAGGCATTTGCAATTAGGACGGTTAATGGTGGGTTGCAAGTAGCCACTGCTTACATCAAAGTAAAAGCGTAAAAGCTTCAGGAGTTAGCGTTTCGCAGGAAATGCACAAAAACACGGACACGCGTCCAAAATATTTGATAGGGGGACGGGCAAGTCAAAACGTGCGTCAGAACAATTTAAAGAAAACAAAGAAATCGGCACAAAACGCGAAAGCATTTCTTTAAATCCCGACTATACATCCAAATTATTTTATTTTGGTGGAAATCGAGCCACTTTTGTCGGGATGACTCTCTCTCATTATTATTATTCTCTTCATTATTCTCTCTTCTCACCTTAAGCTCTTTCAGCCAGAGTTAAACGACACGAAGGCCTCAAAGGTCTGCACGAATGCTGTTGTTCCCACTTCTCCAGCCGGCAAATCACATTCGGTGTCACCAAGATCCCCGTCCGTTCATAACTCAGGTTACTGTGGAGGTTACTCGACAACAGTTGATCTGAGAGAATCTCAGCCCACCAGCAAGCCACTTGTATGCACACCCATGCCTTCTCCATCGATGCCTACTAGCAAATACAAGCGGTTGCCTGGTTTGAGAGAGACGTCGAGCGTAGGTTCTAGCCCTGGCAGCACATGTCCTAGTCCTAACTTTTGAGCCAAACTAGAATGGACGGGACATTGGTCCAGTTTAAAGGGTCGTTCGTCTTTTATTTTTTGCACTGCTGGCCGGCGATTCTGTGCGTTTTTGCAGTACATGTAGTTTAGATACGTTCCTTTGATGATTTACGCTATGGAAACAGTCTAACAAGTAAAAAACTTGCCATGTTTCCTTTTTGTAGGACTGGAGTGTCCGGAGCCACCTCCTGAAACCTCAGTTTCGGCTCCGCTGTTTGACCCAGTCTACCCTCTCTATATGGCGGGACGGACGGCTGGACTTTCATCGGATGATCCAGTCCGTTCCAGTTCCCTGAAAATAAATACCAGCTGGTAGTTTGCTTGTACGATCTTTTCTATACGGTGTTCTGCGAAAGGAAGGTACGCACGCTGCTCTACTACAAAGGTTTGCACTTTTATTAATCGGTAATGCTAAAAATAAAAGAACGACCTCTCGGACAAGAGTCATGGAGGCGCCTGTGCAAGCATGGCCCAGACCTTAGGACGGGGACATACACTGGCAGAGAGTTCTCTAAATTTGGACAAGCCTACTTCTTCCAAGAAACTTTCGACTACCCGACCGTCCATCGCATCCAGAACATAAGGTATTTCCACCTATCACACAGGCCTTATGGCCTTACAAATAAACCTAGTCCGGCAATCTGTCTAGTAATGGAGTTTTCGTTCCTAATTTGGCAGGGCGTTCCCCACCTCAGTATATTTGCTAGAGAGCTGTAATGGATTCTCAACACGAGCGTTCTTATCGGACAACAGAAGTCGGCTGGTCCACGATATTCCAATTTTCGCAGTCCTCGACCTTCTCTTCGATCTTTTTCTCCTCTATTTTCTAAATTCTCATAAACAGGCCCCGGGATTTCACGTTACCACTGGATGAAAACACTCAGCTGCTGTTTTCTGTAGTTCGCCAATCATTGGATAATCTGATTTCATCATCCCCCCGGGCAAGTGGAGCTCTAACTTCTTCGTCCTTAACCTCAGGTCCCTGTTAGACAAGGCGATTTTACTTCAATGTCTGGCGTTTGAGTACTGTCCAGATATTGATCTTGTGACTGAGTCATCGGGAGCACCGTCCGTAGCTGACTTCGAGTCCTCTTTTTTCATGGACATCGGCAAGAAAGCCGTGGCAAGGAACCTGCATTCAGGTGAAGTAAGCCCTTACGTATCAGTCTTTGGATATTCCTCATCTTTCTGAGGTGCAATGTATTTCTCACCTCAACTTTTCTGCTACTAACCCCAACATAAAAGACACTTTTGTTTTTGTGTCTTCGAGGCAGGGCAGGCTGCAGCTTATTTATACCTCATGTATCAAGTATTATTAAGACAATTTAATCTTCCCCACGTGTGTCTTCTTTCAAGGTTCGGTTCTAGAAGGTTTAAAATTTTATTCGGGGCTTCTGTTGTCGATACGTAAAATCTGGTTGTCAATTCCCATACTTCGGAATCAAACATCTTTGATCTAGTATTTTCTTAAAAGTTTTCTGTTACCTTTGTTAGTATTCCTAGGCTCACCTTCAGATTCTTACCATGAAACTGTAGTTCTTAGTAATTAGCCTGAAGTTTATAGTGCCTTTTCTAAAAGAATACTGCGCCATTTTTCTTGTTCGATCGACCTGTTCGCAAGACTTACTGACATGCTTAAGATCTCACTGCCGGACGGATTTCTTTTTTCGCTCGGGTGTGAATTTTGACACTGCAGCACCAGATAAAATTTTTAACTTCTTGATTTCTCGTTATTTTCCGGGAACAAATGATCATTGACATCACTGGCTGCGTTTTTTCTTAATGTTTTAGCAGTAAACGATACAAGTTATCCTGCTGCCCTAACCCTCAAAACAGCGTTCTGATTCTAACCTTCAGCAGTCACATTTTGGAACGGATTTGGATCCGTGCCAATATGAGGTGGTCTGTTGAATTCGTTGGAAACCCCCAGCTGTATGTAACGGAAGTTTTTTTTCCCGAACACTGGAAACTCGAATAAAATGTCAAAGTCCCGTCATTCATTACTGGCTTAGAGTTTCGGTATTCGACTCAAGGATGATCGCTAGCATTTTAAATGTCATTTTTTGAACATACATTATTGAGAACTCAGTTCGGGCGTGGACGCGCGGACAGATACCGTTCTTGAAATTATGCGTTTTGTTGGTCTATGTACATTTTCGATTTATTACTTGAAACTTTCTTGTACACCTGGACCCTTCTGTACAGTTGTTTGAATAACCGCAAATACACACAACTTGTTTCGGCTTGAGTTATCGCGTGCTTGGTGCCCGACTGCGGTGTGGTGTCAATACTTCATTCATTTCACTCACGGGCCCTAATCCCTTTTAAGTTAATTGCCAAGTGACACTTTTATTTCTCGAACATATTTCGTCGGACGTGAATCCGCCCGAGCAACAAGCTGCAGCAACCGACTTCAGCCCGGAACATTCCGGACTTCATCTGGATCATTCATTCCACGACGACTCGAGGCCTCGTTTTTGTGAGTCTGTGCAATTATTTGCTTTTGCAATTTTCCCATTTTTTACTATAATTTTGTCTGTAAAAAACACAGCATTGCGCACCTAGAGTTACGTTTTTGCTGTATCTATTTTGCTTTGTAGTGTTAATTTCCGTTAACACCGCAGTTTTGTCGTTCGGGGCGTAACTGTAATCATTTAAAATTTTCGACTGTTTCGTAGTCTGAAAACAAATTTTATCACAATCAGTATTTAAGGGTCTATGCAAATGATGCATTTCTGAACCTTTCGTGTGAAGTATTTATTTCAACTCTCAAGAGTGAAAGCCTTCCAAGTCCTTGAATGAGAGCACACGTCATATCTCCACCCACGGCTATCCTGCATTAATTATTTTTGGTCAACAAACACATTTCTTCCGGGTCAGAAAATTCTATAGACCCTGCTTAAATATAAGATTCTATGAACTTTAACAAATAGACATTTATTTGGTCCATCCCGGCCCTTTCTCTAGAACCCCAAAGTTTTGGAACTTGCCAGCTTTTTTTCTTTGCCTATGCACCACAATCTGGGATTGAAGGTCTTGCCTTTGTACGGATTGCTTTGATTTTACTGAAGCATTTGCTCGTGTGCACCGTCCTCTTTTCGTTCGATGATGATGGACATAAATGGCTGGCTACGATTATTTGTGTCGACCAACAGTCATAACTTAACACTAATAGTCACGCCATGGCTATAAGGAATTCCAATCTCAGTCTTCGGGGGTTTCACAATCTGGTTATCTCCAAAGCACGTATAATGACTCAGATGAGCTCGCGGAAATTCATAAACGGTGGAAATATAGCAAGTCTCTATGACCTATATATTATTCTTTCTTACTTACCTTTCTGCACGGTGCTCAGTGGAATGAAAGTGAATGCGTTCTGCGTCTTGCCCTACAATATCATAATTTCATCTACAATGAACGCTTCGAACGCGCAGATGCTGATTCCCAGCGAAATTGTTTACTTTTGTTTGTCAACCATTTAACTTTTGAACTTTTAACCCGCCCATTATTCTGGGGCATCCTGGTCGCCATCAACGCTACGGTCATAACAATGCTCCTCTTTTGGCAACCACAATCAAATGTCGCTTGTTCTCTATTACCGATAAGATTGCTAACTGGAGTAAGTTCCCATGTAATCCTTTCCTCTGTTTCAGCCTGAAGGGGCAGTCGTCTACGCCGTCTGTCATATTGTCCGTGTCCTACCATAGGTCATGATCATTCCCTCCGCTGCAGTCTTTTTCTCCGAAACGTCCTTGCTGTCTAGGCTCGTGTTCTTCATTCTCCAACCCTGAAATAAACTCCTATTCTTGTATCCAGTATCTTTTTTTCGCTGTCTGCTCGATTCACGTTTCATACATGTATTGCTGATGCTTTCAAACTGATATCTTACGGCATTACTATCATCCAGGTAGGCTAGTTCTAAAAGGTGGCGTTTCTTGTTTGACCTACTGTGATTTCAAGTTGGGATTTAGCGCTGGATTTTGGAAGTAGGAAAGACAGATCGGGCTTTTTCACCGTCACGACGAGCTGAAAGTCTTATTTCAGAACTTTTGCATAAAAGGGAATACCTTGGTCCTAATCAGGGCTTAGGGTCAGACTGCAACGACGGTTTAAAATGACTCTTATGGCACTATCACTTACATGAGAACCAAGACCGCCTAATTCAAGTCTGATATCTATGGATTCAGGAATTAAGTCATGCGTGGCATGAGTAGTCTGACTATCGATCAGGTCAACCACTGGGCCAGCGCCCACCTCTGTTAGTCTTAAATGAGACTTTTCACTAAACTGCGACAGATGTGGAAATAAATAATATGGTGGGTACTGGTACCAGTCTGGTTCACTACGAGCGCATTCGTGTTCGAGACACACCGGCAATCTCTGGTAGTATTTGACCTCATAGCATGTGAGGACCGACCTAATGGATGCAAGCATCCTGCACCAAGAAGGATTTTGCTGTATATTTGCCTTAACTTAATTCAGACGCTCTTAATTCTTCGCCGTTTTGCTTCTTTAGGCGGTGAGCTGCCTTATAACCATTTGAGAGGACGATTATAAGTTACAACGGAATTGTCAGCAACCAGTAGGATGTAGGACTTCGAGCAAGAATGGTTAAATAGATCAGGGACCTCATCTCCTCGTGAGTGCAGGGCGTCTTTGTTGGTAATTCTACCTCGGAGTTGGCAAAACTTGAAAGTGGTGTTCCATAAGGTTCTGTTTTAGGCCCACCACTCTTTCAGATTTATGTAAATGATTGCACTAGCTAACTGCATTTCGGGGCTCTCATGTTTGCGGACGACATAGAAATATTTAACGAAGTCGACTTTATTGATGACGCAAAGAATTTGCCATCGTGCATCCACAAACTGAACACTTGGTCAAATAGGTGGTTATTGAAGTTTAATTTGTCCAAATTCGTGGTCCCACACCTAAACGCCGGCTGAAATATCCCTCCAAAATATCACTACTATATTAATGAGACGGCATTCGAAGATGCGGAAAGGCGCAGAGATCTGGGTGTATGGATGAGCGCAAATCTAATGCCATAAAAACAATATATGAAGATGGTTTAGAAGGCAACTAGTACTTTACACTGGACCAGACGTACATCTAGAATATTCCCCCTCGAACACCTCAGAAGACTTAACGACGTCTTTTTTAGGCCCCATCTGTAATATGGAATGCTAGCAGCTAAGCCATGTATTAGAAAGGATATTGACTTCCTCGAAGAGAATGTTCGCTGGCTTAAAGCAATTGTCGTACAAGGAGAAGTTCGGTGCCCTTGGCTTATTCCCTCTATCCAATGGATAACTAAGGTGCAGCCTATTATGAACATTCCGAATTGTCCCTGGCTATCGTTGCTTGCTTAGACCAGAGGACGTCTTTGAGTCTGCCCGTACAAATCAACTATGCGCTACTTCCTACAAAGTCAATAGTGAACGCACGCGGAGCGACCTTAGGAAGTGTTCCCTCAGCTAGCGAGTTGTCCGATCATGGAACTCGCCGCAAAACAAGATTATGATGACCGACAAAACTTTCACGTTTAAAAGAAAACTTGCTCGTGCGTTTTTTGACGATAGCCGTTGTAACTCCCCACGACCTCGATAGGGTTGTTTGAATGAGGAAACACTTTTTGGCGCGCGAATCTAGGAGGGAGATGGCGTGACCGCGAGCTGTTGAAGATGGCTGGTGTCCCTTCCTCTCACTTCCGCCGACCCCTTTTCCCGCAACGTACCGTGACGCTGGTATCGCTCTCCCTCTCTCTAAGTTGGCACCTATCTCGGCCCTTCCCTGCAGTTGCCACAGCGCTGCGTTCCCCACCGGTTAAATGGCATTCAGAAAAGCTCCCACAAATTTTGGGTGCTGAATCTACTGATCGACTGTACCGTAGCGATGGCGTTTGTGGTCTCTAAACACTATGGCCGGTCTCACCAGCTGTTCCTCGACGCCTCTACTTTGACTATCCCCAACTTCGTGAAAGGAATTTGACGTCCGATAATCTCCGATACCGTGCAACCTCCCCCCTTCTTGACGGTCGATATTCTACCACCGCCGACAGTTTTTTTTTCTCCTGAGCCCTCCAAACCACAAAAACCACCATCAACTATATTTTTATGCCTTAAGCTCAGGAGTTTTTTTTCACTGCCGGTCGGATTTGTGTTTAATCGCTTCCCTTGACAATGCCTGTAAACTGGCATTAAATTAAAATTTATTTATTTATGTTGATATCGCCCGTCCACCCAGACAGGTTACGCCACAGTTTTGACTCGTCCTGCTAGTACAATTAACTATTACTATACGTCTTTCCGATTCCCATCTCCGTTGATTATACCTTCTCGCCCACTTGTCTTTCCTTCTTCCTTTATGCGCGGATGATTATCGTAAAGTGCTAACGAACCTATTCAGATCAACGTAGCCAGAATCTCTTCCCAGTGCTTCGCTTCGTGGGCTTGTGCTACCCTTGACGTCCTCGGCTGCCACACCGTCTTTTATAACATGACTACTCACAGCCAACTCTGTAAAACACCTTGTCCTCCTCATTATATTCGTTCTGAGTGCCAGTGTATAGAAGCGATTCCCTTGACAAATGTGATATCATAAACAGACGATATTCCAATTGTTTTTAACTTTATTTTGATTGCGAATATGCGAAATTACTATACATGAATAGGCTCCTCAAGGGCTCTGTCTACAACCTTTCAAATACGAATATAATCCAGGAAACCCTGCCTGAACACCGGCCAGATATACGTTTCAAGCAGTCGACCAAATGGCTCTTCTTCAAAGTTAGGGAAGGGTTCCCCGACCGCTCCCAGGACACGCATAGCCTTTTCATGGGCAAACTGGAAAGATTCCAACTAAGCGATCAGATCGATAAGCTCGGACATTACGGTCGCTATTTTGATGGCATCTTTACATTTGCCACCGCAGAAACCGACGTAGCTACCATCTTAAATGCTGTAAATCAGGCATATCTGTCGATCTTATTTACGTTGGAGATCGAAACGGCCGGTTCGTTCCCTTTCTTAGATGTTCTTCTAAGAAGAGGACCTGACGGGGGTGCCCGAAGAAGCGTCTGTCGGCAGAAAACCTGGTCCGGACAATGCACGAACTCCATCAGTTGCGGTCTTTTCCAACAAAAATGTCATCTAGTCCGGTGTTAGGATCAAAGAGCTAGAAAAATTTGCTCAACGGATAGCATCGAGGAGGAACTTAGGAAAATCCAGGACTTCCTTCTCGAAAACAGGTACCAGACCGGTTCATTGCAATGGACATTGCCGAACAACCGGTAAAGCCCGCCACACCGACTGCCGAAAGAGAACTTTGTTCCTCGGTGTCCCTTCTCACTGGGGACGCTGCGAATGAACTCCTTAGGAGACGCCTTGATCAAGCTGTCTCGAGAACCTTCCCGACAGCGAGGGTTCAAATATCATTCTCTACTAACCCTATTTTACTCAGAGAAGGTAGTGATCAGTTGACCAATCAGACAAAATCAATGTACATCAATTCCTTCGCTCGCTTCTGTGGCGTACGTTATATTGGTCGCACGAGTCGTAGCTTATCCAAGAGAATACGGGAACACCTGCCGGCATGGCAGAAAAAAGGCGAAACCATGACCATAAACAGAGCCATTCTCGCGCATGTTGTCGATTTCGGACATCGTGTAGGTCCCAATGAAGCTTTTCTTGTGATTTGTAAGGCCTCATCGAGCTACCCTAAGCTACTTGGCCAACGCCTGTTAGCAACAGCAGAAGCTCCCCAAAGTATAGCTTTTTTCCGCAATTTCCGATTAACTCGCTCGACCGAATTATTAACACACCTTAATTCCTACGACTGGACTGATTTCTTCCTTAGTTCGGATGTGAATGTTTGCACTGCAAAACTGTACGAAATTTTGAATCCGCTTATTACTCGTTTTGTTCCCCGTAAGAAAATTATTAATGTTGAGGATGAGGTTTTCCTACCCTTACCCTTTCGTCGCGGATTTCGCAGATTTTATCGTCGATTCCATCTTCAGAACGACGTTTCTGTCCTGTCCTTGATTTGCGATATTTTTGAGCGGGCTAATAGATTGCAGAAAAACAGCTAGCCAAAGAGGTCCAATTCACCGAAAACCGCTTGTTAAGTGTCTCGAAACTTTTCTCTGGAAAAATACGAACTGAAAGAAAGACGCAGCATCCCATCCTCCGAGACGCTCTCGGAAATCCCATAGTTGATGTCCAGTTAATCGTCGATAGCTTCAATGATTTCCTGTCCAAAGCGTTTATTGAAGACTCGACCACTCCAGTTCCGACCATCCAGGTATTGACCGGGGCAGTTCTCGAAACTATTACTTTCACTCTGTGGGATGTGACTGTTGCGATTCGACGTTTTCGTCAATTTCATAGACCAGGCCCTGATGGTGTCCCAGTAAGCATTTTAAAAGCCGATGCAAATACGATTTTCCCCTCCCTCCTATGCAAAATATTTAATCTCGCTCTTGAAAGTAAAACCTTTCCTACCTTGTGGAAGGAATCACACATTTTTCCCATTCCTAAGCACGGCAAATCTACGTCATTTGATGACATTCGGCCAATAAACACCCTCCCCGCAGTTTCGAAGATCTTAGAGACATTGATCAAGGATAAGATGATGTGCCACTTAACAGAGAATAACCTACTGAGTATTGCTCAGCATGGATTCCTCAAAGCTCGATCTTGTGACACCT